ATAAGTAAAATATTTTTTAAAAAATACAAAAAAAAAAAAATAAAGGGAGAAGATGAGGATGTATGGCGATATATGGAATTCTCCCTTTTCTGGTAACTGCACCTGGTTCTAAGTAGCTCATTGGTCAGTGAGAGCCTATGGATATTTTGAGGTCGCTGTGGTCCCCTCCTCCATTCCGTCATTCAAGGCTGTTTGCCTGAAAGCAGCTCTATAAGCTTGCGCCCAATGTGGGGCTTCAACTCACAACCTCGAACTCAAGAGTCGCATACTCTACGGACTGGGACTGAGCCAGCCAGATGCCCCAAAATGTTGATCTTTAGCCCAGAAGTAGGATGTATGTATAGCCTGCATAGTTTTGATAAGGATTAAATAAGTGCTGGTTGATACACTTTTTTTTTTTAAGTAGACTCCACACCCAAGGTGGGGCTTGAACTCACAACTCTTGAGATCAAGAGTCACATGCTCTACCAACTGAGCCAGCCAGGTGCCCCAACATCCTTGAAGGGTTTCATGACTGCCTATATATTTCATCGATAGTTAATATCAAACCAAATGATAAGGGGCGCCTGGGTGGCTCAGTCAGTTAAGTGTCTGCCTTCAGCTCAGGTCATGATCCCTGGGTCCTGGGATCAAGTCCCGCATCGGGCTCCCTGCTCAGTGGGGAGTCTACTTCTACCCCTCCCTCTCCACTCTTGCTCTGTCTCTCATTCTCTCTCGAATAAATAAATATTAAAAAAGAAGAAGCAGCGAGAAATCTTGGAAAAGTAGTTTTATGAGTAGAAATTTGAAGAAAACATTTCTGATCTGATACTTCCTGCATGCCCCGTCTCCCTTGAGCACTAGGCATATGACCACCAGCTGCAAAAGTGCACTTTCTGCCCTGGGATCTGTCCCCCTGCTGCTTAAATAAACTTACTGAGTTGCACCATAAAACGTCTCAAGTATTCTTTCTTGACCTTTGTGCTCAATGATCCTGAAACATTTTTGGTGGCCCGTACGGGGATCACAGCGTGAATCCGAGAGCCTCCATGGGGCTTGGTAAGTCTTCTTTAGCTCCAGTCTTTTTTTCTTACTTGTTCTTTTCTGGAGGTGTCCTGAATAGTGGTCAGGGGAGAACCTATTGCCCATGGGACAAGCTCCTGCCACTCCACGGGACACCACCAGCGCCTTGGGTGTAATCGTGTTGGGCTCAGAAATCAGGCTCTCTCTGTCTTACCTGGTTTTTTTTAAAAGATTTTATTTGGGGCGCCTGGGTGGCTCAGCCGGTTAAGCCTTACCTGTTCTTTTAATACTTGTATTCTTCTTGGGCATGGGACGGCCATACATGTCCTTATAACGGCTGCTGATCTTAAGACTCCTGTTTAAGGTTTCCTTCCAAATAACCAGGTGTGATCCCTCAATGAGCATAAAATCCAAGATACTTCTGACTGCGTGCTTCCAGAAAGGGACTGATTGGAGCTATTACCCAGGTGGGGCCCTCACCTAAGGGGGCACAGCTCCCTGGGGCTGGATCTCGGAGAAAGCTCATGAGAAAGTTGCCTGGGTTAGATAGGAGTTCCATCCTTTTGGGTTTTTTTTCATGGCTCTCATTTGTCCTTACACATGGGCTAATTGGCGTTCTCGATCCTGCTCTCAGATTGAAAGTACTTCTAGTGGGGGCGCCTGGGTGGCTCAGTCGGCGAAGCGTCTGCCTTTGGCTCAGGTCATG